TCCAGCTCAATCTGAAGCCAGTAATCCAGCTTGGTCTGAAGCTGGCCACCAGGTGTGCCAGTCCTGGGGCTTCTGGGAAGAACCTCACCACTGGCCAAATTCAGCTGCAGCCTGTGCCCTCCCTGAAGCCACCTGGAATGAGCCATGAAGTAATCCGCAGATGGCCACCACCCACGCTGGGCTTGCAGGTGCCTGGGAGAGACTAAGCTGTGAACTGAGACTGGCTGCTGCTAGTGCTGGCTTGGAGCTGCTTAGCAAGAAGTACAGGGCATGCTGTGGTCAAATGCTGCTTGTTTGGGGTTTGAGTACCTTTGAGAGATTTTTTTAGGAAAATCCAAAGCATGAGCCAAGATAGGTCCTTTGTATGGAAAAGTCACTGGGAACAGCTTGGGTGGGCCTGGAAGTTGGGCAGGGTGGGGTCTTGGGGAATCACCAGGCAGGTTGAACTGTGTTAGCCAGGTTCAACTCACATATGGCACCTGCTTAAGTCTGAACGCTGGGAGCGGGGAGGGCTCGATAAAGGAACAATGGCTTCTGCCAGCATTTCTGTCTGAAAGAAAGCGGCCCCTCCAGGCCTCACTCTGAAGCCAGACAATTCAGTTCCTCCCCATACATCCCTGATATCTTTTGAGCTGCTGCCCCAGCACTGGAGCTCAGAGTGAGTTAGTCTGTCGGTGAGTAAGTCCATGTGTGGGCCCTTTAGGGAGGATGCCTGGGACTCCAGCCACCTGCCATCTCACTCAGCCACAACCTCTGCTGGTTTTCACAGCCAGAAGTTGTAGGGACTTCTCTCTCCAGCACTGGAATCTTGGGTTGGGGAGCCTGGTGTGGGGCTGAGACCCCTCGTTCCTCAGGAGGTACCTCCACAGCTGAGATATCCTCCCAATTTTTAACTGCCACACAGGGTGTGGGACTAGACCATTTGGCATCTCTGCTTATCATACAAGTCTTGACATGGATTCTGTATATCCTTACTTACAGGACTTATATTCAGCTAGACTTCAGGAGATTCTCAGTGATGGTTCTTCTGTAGTTTAGTTGTAATTTTGATGTGGTCATGAGTGGAGGCAAGCACAGCATTTATGTACCCTGCCATTTTGACCGGAAATCTAGTATATTACACTATTATTTTAAAACATTGTGATAAAAATATATATAACATATAATTGACCACTTTAACCACTTTTAAGTGTACATTCAGTGGAATGAATGACATTTGTGATGTGCAACCAACACCACTATCTATTTTAAAAACATTTTCATCAATAAGAGTGAAGGGGCAGAGATGAGATTGTGGGACCTAAAAGTCAAGACTTTTTTTCCTTATCCAAAGAGCAGTGAGAGATCACTGAAAGAATTTAAGAATATGCATGACAAGTCAGATTTTTCATTTTAAAATGACTGTTCTGTTGTAGTTGGAGGATGATTTGGAGCACAGATGGTGGACAGAGGTGGACTTGCTGTGAAGTAAACACAGCACAAGCTACAAGGCCCCACATTCATGAGTCCCTCCAAGGCCAAGAGAGAGAGCTGATAATGTGCTCTGGGGCTGTACTAACTCTGTGTTGGTATTTTAATATATTTTCTTAAGGAAGGACTCCCACACCAATCATGTAGGTCCTGTAAAACCTGGATCTGCCCCTGATACTCAATAATAAACTTCCAGGATAAACTTTATTTTTTTTAAATTTATTTTTAATTAATTAATTTTTATTAGTTTCAGGTGTACAAAACAATGCAATAGTTATACTTTATATCCCTCACAAAGTGACAACCCCTCTCCCCCAATCCACCCCCCCACTCCCCACCCCCCTCATAGCATACATATCTATTATAATTCCACGGACTCCACTCCCCACACTATGGTCCACATCCCATGACTATATATATATTAAATTATAGTTGACATACAATATTATTCAATGTCAGCTTCAGGTGTACAAGCCTCTACATCATTCATGAAGTGGTCTCCCTAACAAGACATGTGACCATATGACACCCTACAAAATACAGGATAAACTTTCAAATCCTTACTAAATAATTGGGGGAAGCCCTTAATCAGGGTTCTTGAAGAATGAAGCCATGGATTTCAGCACTGTGTTGCCTGTTATATTAGGTATGGTTCTTGGCGGTGAGCCACTCTGGTCAACTTCAGCAAAATGCGAATTTGCTGGAGGGATATATGAGCAGGAATTGACACACTTATTCTGTAAAGAGCCAGGTAGTAACTAATTTCAGTGTTGCCAGACATGTGATGTCTGTTGTAGTTACAGAAGCCTGCAGTTGTAAGGTGAAAGGAGCCATTGACAATATGTAAATGAATGAACATGACTGTGCCAATAAATATCTATTTATAAAAACTAGCTGCAGACTTGATTTGACAAGCTGGTCATAGTTTGCTGAGTCCTGTATTTGGAGACTCCAAAATCTTTGGGTGTTCAGAGCACAGGTGTGCACATGGGTGGGTGTATAGGACTCAGTATGTACATCACTCCAGATCTACTTGTCCTTGTATCCTCACCCCTGCCTCAGCCACTTGCTCTGCTATTCCTACATGTAAAGCTGCCATGGCACCATAGATGAGGAGCCCTGTGTTTACTGCTTAAGAATGTGGTGACGCTTGACAAATTACTTCCTAATGAAGGGGTTAAACTGGGTCAGGAATGATATACCATGCTGCTTGGAGTGCTGCAAGAAGAAAGACTTTGAGGCTACACCCCAGTTCAGTAGGGAAGAGGTATGACTGATTAGTTATGTCTGCAATGAGCACCTGGATAGAGAGAGTTGGCATGCTTGCTAAATATTTGTGATCCTGTAAATTGCTGATCTCCATGGTCCCTTATGGTTGTAGAAAGCTACAGTTCTGTGTCTGGATACTTCTTTGGGAATATTCTGGAGATGGAACCATCATGTAAGATATAGCCACTTGGCATGGAAGAGTGGCTTGTAACTTTACAAATTCCTAACACATCTGCTTTTATGGAAGAGATGGGATGAGCTCCTGATTCTCTGTTCATGAAGGACACACCTGGAAGGCAGCTGGCCTTCAGAAAAAAGAAACCAAATCCATAATGCCTTTCACATCAGCCTCATGGTTTAAGTACAGATCAAAGGTTCCAACACATACTTTTAAAGTTTGACAAATATTTACTGAACACCCATTAAGTTAATCAAAGACTTGTTCCTTGCCCTTAAGAATTGTAATCCTCAGTGTCTCACCATGGGTGAGAGAGCAGAATCAACTAGAAAAACTATTAGGAATGGCTTTCTGGAATAAGTAGGGGTGGGAGGCAGTGAAAGGGGGTTGAAGGGAGAGAGATAGCATTCCAGCTTGAGGAATGGTGATAGCAAAAGCTCTGGTGGGGGAATTGGGGGATGAGTTTAGCTGATTGCTGGTAGGAGGTGGAATTGTAAGGGTGTAAGAAATCAGGATGTGGAGTTTGGCCTTGGTCTCTAAATGATGGGGTATCATTGTGTCTTCTTGGGTGTTCTAGGAAGATCAAGAATTGTAGATAGTATGGAGGGCAGAGGAGGGGTGAAATAGTCAGGCAGAGAGGCAAAGAAAGAAGCTGGTACAAAAATGCAAACATGAGAAAGTGGGACTTGAGCCTAGAGAGTGACATGTAAGGGAAGAGACAGCAGATATGAGATGTGTCTCAAAGTCAGGTTGGGCTGGGTATGGTGGCTGGTGACGTATGAAGGTTAAAGGAAGGGTGCTATAGATAAATGCAGAATTCCGAACTTGGGTCTGAGGTTGAGGGTGCCAGGGAACACTTGGAGGATAGACCAGGAAGAAAAGACTCATCTTTAACCATGAGTTTTCAACTATGGCAGGTATGACCGCAAGTTATTTCCGTGGGAAAGGTCCAGGCTAGAGATAGAGAGACGTGCATCATAGACTTGGAAGGCAGAGCATCTGATCCACCTTCCAGCCCAGTGCTGGAATTTCATGGAGGTAACCTTGAATGCTGGTTATTAAAGATTTCTAGAAGTCTTCCAGGGAGCTCCTACCCCCAAGGTAAGAAGAACTTTTATTAGGTGGTTTCTCTAATTAGAAAAGTTTTCTGATGGGTTAAGACTTAGCAGGCAGTGGAAAGGGGCTGGACTGGAAACCAAACTTGATCCTGCCCCTGACTTACTGTGTGGCGTTTACCAAGCCATTTAACTTCTCTGGGCCTTTATCATGTTGTCTACAAAATAACAGGGTGACACTAGGGGATTTACCATAGTTCCAACATACTCTGATTCAGAGTGGTTGGAAGTTGAAACCATGAGAATGGATGGATTTTCTTGGAGAGAAGGCAGAGTCCAGGGCCTAGTTGGTGGGGATGGGGTGAGTGTTAATTAAGAGGCAGAGATCCAGAAAAGAAGGAGGTGTTTCTATTAGCCAGAGAGAGCCCATGAATTAGGAGAATTGTGTTAAGGTACCAGCTTGCTAGCCAAGGAAGGGGGTGTTTTAGAGAGAGAGAACAATTCTTGCCTGACTGAATTTTTAGGAATTGAGAGTGAATTTCTGTGAGATAAGAATAGATGTGGGTTCAGGAAGAGGTTAGAACCCTAGGTGAGATTCAGGAGCCCCCAAAGCTTTGATTAAGGTAGGAGGTGGTGAGTGGGCATTAGTTTATCAGGGGGAAATCGTTTGCTTTATGCAGCTACATTTGTATGGGTATGATTTATGAAAGAAGATTTCAGATGAGCATAGGAACAGAAAGTGGAATAAACAATTACTCTCTTAGGTTGCATTTATAGATGTAAAGTGTCCAGCCTGAGGAAGGTGATGTTGTTGTTACCATCATGCCTCGTGCTCAGTTTTAGGTGGGTTGCTCTAAGCAAGACAGGAAAAGACTGAAGAAGGACCTGCATAAGAAGTGTGATGAAAGGATTGGGTGCCATTTAGCTTTGGGAAGAGAAGATTTGGAGGAAGTGATGAGAGCTGCCTTTAAACATCCACATGACAGAGAGAGCTCCAGAAAGGGAGCCCCTCCATTCTCTTTCTACTTCTACTGCAGATAGAGCTGTTTCCGAAGGGTGCTTTCGATTTGGGGGTTCAATTTCCTCGCCTCCCCTTCATGAACCACCTCTTCTTCTGCCATCCGCCGGGTTACCTGTAGCAATAGGTGTGGTCAGCTTGGGGCTTGGCCCCTGGGGGAGTCAGTATAATGGGTTCATGGGGAGAAGTTTAGAAAAGCGGGCAGGTGAGTATCCCTGCCCTCAGATGAGTGACTATTATTGTCTCATCCGATACCATCATCTCTATGGAATCATTGGTTAGACATTCTTGTTATATGTTTTTTTCCTAATCTGCTATAAAAGCACATAACCATTAGAAAAAAAGTTTTCCCAAAGGTTTTGTTATAGAAATGTATCTATTTCATCTAAATTATCTCACATACTGTCCCAATTCACCTCTGTGAGAAGATCCAGGATAGGTCCTTTTCTCTCCAAGAATACATCAACCAGGGTCTGGATGAAGCAGGAGCCATCCTGGTCATGTCTGTAGGAAAGGTACCCTGGGGATGGCAGAGAAGTGGGCTCAGGGGATGGCAGAGAAGTGGGCTCCAATGGAGGTGGGAGGGGGGGGGGTGGTGCAAGAGGCCTGGAAGAGGGTGGGTCCTGGAGGAGTGCCTCAGGGGTCAGGAGCAGTAGGTGAGGTAGGGGAGCAGGAGCCACCTTGGGTCAACTGGGAGCTCATACCCTCCACAGTGGAGTAGATGTGGAGGGTGTCCGTGTACGTTGGAATGGTGTCAAGGTCGTCTTTTATGATCATCACAGTGTTGTCTCCACCTACTGTTTCACCAGGGTCCCTTTGTTCTGAAACATCAAGAAGAGGAAAAGGCAAACTCAGAGAGAAAGATGGGGGAAGGAGGAGGTCATAAAACAGATGAGCAGTGGGCTCTAGATCTGGGGTTATGGGATGGTGCTGGATTAGGAACACAAACTCTGTCCTTGGCTCTGTCCCCACCTCCACGACAGGCCTGCACGATGTACACCTTAGGCTTCGCTCTCAGGGCCTGGCAATTCTTGTTGTTCAGAACCCTGAAAAGGTTCTCCAGCTCGACCATCTTCTCGTCTTCCCCTTTGAGGCGACCTTCTAGCCCATGCGCCATGAGCACCACAAAAGCACAGCTGACAAAGTCTTCCCGGGCATCGATGGCCCGCTGGAATTTTTCCAGCTCTTCCTGGAATTGCTAGAGCGAGAGAAATGGCCAGACTCAAGTGTATTCCTGGAGCCCACCTTCCGGTCCAGCCCCTCCTCCGCTGGCCTGGGGCTGGGCTGCACAATACCTGGGCGGTGGGGTCTCTCTTCGTGGTACTCTGGAATCCCAGCTGCCTGAACATTCGTTCCAGGGCGTCTAGGTCCGCCTCAGAACCTTCCCGGGCTTTGGTGACGCATAGCGTCAGGGCTAGACGGGCGCCTGACATGTCATATGCCTCCTGGGCCAAAAGATGACAAAAATAATCAAAGGGGTAGGGAGGTCAAGGAGAAGCAGGAGATTTGGTCCAAAGAGGCCTGGGGTTAGGGTTGCCAGGTAAAATGCAGGATGCCCAGTTACACTCAAATTTCAGATTAATATATATAAAAAAAACCCCAAGATTTTTAGTATAAATACATCCCAACTATTACACAGGATATACTTATACTATAAGATTATTTGTTGTGGTTGTGAAATTCTAATTTGACTTGGTATCCTTTATTTTCTTATTTTTTATTAAATTTATTGAAGTAACATTGGTTAATAAGATTATGTAAATTTCAGGTGTACAACATAATTTCATATCTGTATACTCTATTTTGTGCTCAACACCCAAAATTGGTTTCCTTCCTGGCGTCCTGCTCTGTTTTAGTCCTGTATGAACTCGAGAAAGTCACTCCTCCTATCTGAGTCTCAGTTTCCAAATATAGACTGTGTGTGTGAGTGTGTGTGAGTGTGTGTGTGTGTGTGTGTGTGTGTGTGTGTAGAAATTTGAAGGTTCCTTTCAGTTGTCACATTAGGTGGTTTGTTTCTCCATCTTTTCCAAGAGTGTTCTAAGCATTACTTTCTTACATGCGCAGGTCTCAGAATTTCTGAAGCTAGTGCTGAGATCCTATCTTATCCCATCTGAGGAAAAAGGACGTTGGGGTCAAATTTTCTTTTCAAAGCAGATGCAGGATACTTTGAGAAAGCTGTAGTAGAGTTCCCCCCAACCCGACTTGAGTTCCATCTGAGTCTTTCTCTATTTGAATGATCACAAAGCAACTTCTAGCTCTGAATTTAGGCCATGATTTCATGTCCCTCCCTGCCCCTCCTCCCCCGTCCACTGTCTCTGAAGCATTAAGCTCTTCACCTCCCCTCTCTCCAGAGGCTCCCATCCCTCTCCCCCAACCTTCACCCAGCCCACCTTTTCCAGAGGCCGAGGATTGCTCATGTTTCTGATTCTGAGTCCGGTTCTCAGCACCCTTAGCTGATCCTAGGATTCAAGAGAAGACGGATTGAAGGTCTCCAAAGGAAGGCAGAGAGGCTCAGGGCATAGACCATAGTTTGTGTATCTGGATTTTTGAGAGCAAATAGGATCCTAGTGGTGGGAACTGGTTTCATGGTCAGACCTGGGCAAGAGGTCACGGTCCATGAAGTGTGTCCTTTCTGGTGTAACACTCCAGTGGTGTCTTTCACCCCTGGATCTCCAGAACTCCTGGTAGGTCCACTTCACAATGCCACCCATCTGGAAATTTCCCTATTTCTCCTTCAGAACCAGCCTGTGATGGACCGGACTCATTACTGGACTGATAAGCAGGACAAGCAACCCCGTGTATCCCCCTCTGCCGCCCAGGAGCTGACTGGTTTAAGAGGCATCAACAAGGCGATGCTTCGGGGTTGGGTTTGAAATGAGACGATGATTAGCATGGGGAATACTACTTTGAAACTCTCCCAGTGGGTCTCTAATCCAAACAGATCAACCCATCTCCCTCCCTCTGCCTTGATCCTGAACATCTGTCTGAGTTCTCCATTCTCATCTGAGTCCTGTTCTACTCTCTGGCTGAACAGAATGACTTTTGCCATATTCTTGGCATTTTCCCATCTCCTTGCCTTTTCTTTCTCATCAGCCTGGAATGCTTTTTTATTAGTTAAGACACTTTTCTGCCAATTTGTGTGTCATCAGGTCTTTCCCCACCATTCACTCATCCCTCCACTCATCTATCCATCCATCCATCCATCCATCTACTTATCTATCCAACCACCCATATATCTATCTATTCAACAAATATTTCCTGAGTGTCTATTATGAGCTACATTTTGAGAAGACATGCTCCTTGCACTTTTGTAGCTCTAGTCTGTAACAGAAAGGAACATTAAATTTCTTGCTTTTTTCTGTCTTACACACACACACACACACACACACACACACACACACACACACACACCATGGAGCCAATATTCTAAGAAAAAAGGAACCAAATACTGTGTGTGAGGAGAGTGAGAGTAGAAGGAACGTGTATTCTGGAGCTGGATAAACCAGAATCAAGTCCTGCTTTGGCCCCTTCCCAGCTGTGTGACATTGAGCCTCCTCTCTGAGACTCAGTTTTCTCATCGGAAAAGGACCTTAAAAGAACATTAGATGCTTTACAGTAATGGCACAGCACAGCCAGTGCTAACTGCACAGCACAGCACAGATCCCTTCTAACCCACTGGAAATTGTCTCTCCCTTCTCTGGACTCCCCAGCTCTGCCTGTTTTGACCTGCATTACAGTGGTGCTTTTGATTCTTATTCTTGTGGCTGAGTTGGCAGCTCCAGTTTTAGGACTGAAAGCTTGACTTCTTTATCTTTGTCTCCATCAGGGTCATCAATGTGGGAATGGGCCCTGAGGCTGTGTTGGAGAGAATTTGTTGAGTAAACAAATGAAAAACAAATAAACAAATGAAATAAAGGATGGATGGATGGATGGGTAGGTGGGTGGGTGGAAAACTGATCAGAAAATGCATTCATTCAGTGAGAGAGAGAGAGAGAGAGAGAGAGAGAGAGAGAGAGAGAGAGAGAGAGAGAGAGAGAGAGAGAGAGAGAGAGAGAGAGAGAGAAAGAGAGAGACAGGCTAATGTCTGTCAAATGACTTACTGATTCCAGAAGTAGCTGCTTCTTACAACCAGGCTGTCTCACCGCTCTCCTAGTTGCCAACAGGACTGGGCACCACCAAGAGGTCAGGGCCACCTGCTGACCTTGGAGAAGGGACTGCTGACAGGCAGGATCGTCCCAGGTTTCTCCCAAGGGACCTGTCTGTGATTTGGGCAGCACAGCCGTCTGGGCCTTTATTGTCAGCAAGTTTTCTGTCACTTAGGAAACCTCATGACAGGAGGAACACACCCTTGCTGAGGAAATGGAGCCAAACGCCCACGGAATGAGCGATGGCAAAGCTCAGCCAACACCCCTGGCTAAGGAGGCTGAGGCAGAGCTTCCATACCAGCCCCCCACAGAGCACCCACAGGTCCGGCTCATCTGGCTATCTTCAAAACCATCATTGCACCCACTTCCATCTCTTACACATTCAGCTGTGCAGATAATGCCAACTTCACTTGTTTATGAACACTCACTGAGTGTTCAGTAGCCCTAAGAGCTCAGCATTGTTTGCTCTCATTTCACAGAAAAGAAAACAGACTCACAGACGTAAAATGACTGCCCACGGTCACCCAACCAATAATTGGCACAGTGGCATTCAAACCCAGGAGGGTCCAGCCCCAGAGAGTCCAGTTCAGCTGCCTCACCTGATGTTTCATAGCTGATTCAGTTTCTTGCTCCTCTTTCTCATGACCTTCCTCTTTTATTCTTTTTTCAGCCTTTATTTCCCTTCACTTCATGTCCTTTCACTTTGCTTAACTTCACTTCATTTTATTTAACAGCTTTCAAGAGATATAATTCACTATAATACAATTGACCCATTTGAAGTATACAATTCAATGGTTTTTCCTATATTTGCAGACTTGTGCAACCATTACCACAGTCAATTTTAGAACATTTTAATCACCTCCAAAGAGAAACCCCGTGCCCTCTAGTTACTGGTGCAATCCCCTCCATATGTCCCTGCCCCTGACAACCACTAAGCTACATTCTGTCTCTATAGATTTCCCTGTTTCAGACGTTTCATATGAAACGATCATAACTGTGGTCTTTTTGTTTGACTTCTTTCACTCATCATAATGTTTTTAAGGTACATCCATGTTGTAGTCTGTATCAGTATGTCATCCCTTTTTACGGCTGAATAATATTGCATTGTATAGATAGACCTAATTTGTCTATTCATCCATCCATTTGGGTTGTTTCCACCTTTTGATTATTGTGAATGATGTTGCTATAAACATTAACACACAAATCTTGGTTAAAATGGTTAAATGGTAAATTTTTTGTTATGTCTATTTTAATCACAATAACAAAATTTAAAAACACTTGAGCATTCTCATCCTCCCAATTCTTCTTTTGATTTCAAGATAACTCAGGCACCAGGTGGGGCAGTTTCTCTCCAAATCCCCACCTGTGCATTGACTTACTCATTTATAGCTGTTTGTTAAATATGTTGGCTCATTCCTCCAAATTGTTCTGTTACTTGCTTTGTTCACTTTACTTACATGTCTGGGTCATCTTTCTATGCTGGTAAATATGGAAGAAACTCCTTTTTAATTTTCTTTTAGAAAACTTTTTATTGAAGAATAACTTCACGCAGAAAAAAAGTACAGATCATAAGTGCGCAGCTCGATGAATTTCCACAGACTGAACATACATACGCAACCAGGACCAGTTGAAGGAAAAGAATGTGTCTAGGTCTCAGACCTGGATTTCGTCTCCTGCTCTCTTTCTTTCTTTCTTTCTTTCTTTCTTTCTTTCTTTCTTTCTTTCTTTCTTTCTTTCTTTCTTTCTTTTTAAAAAAATTTTATTGGGGAATTGGGGGAGGGAACACCGTTGGGGAATCAGGGAAGGGGAACGGACAAGTTGCTGTCCTTTTGTTCTTCAGTCTAGTTGTGGAGGATGTTGCTTCACTGGCCCATGTTGGTATTGTGATCATTGTGCTCTTCCCAGGTGAGGCAGATCAGTTGCCAGCCACTGGACAGCTGCATAAAGCGGCTCATGGCAGCTCACGCTGGCTGCCAACCTCTCATGCTGGCTGCCAGCCACACATGGTAGCCTATGGCAGCCCACTGCAGCCTATGCAGTCGCCTGCGACTCCCGGCAGCCCAGCTCCAGGTTGAGTTGTTGTTCACTATCTTATCTGTAGAGGGCAGAGTGTCACTGGCCCATGTGGAATCCGAACTTGCAGCCCTGCTGCTCAGAGCTCGCACTCCGAAGCCAACTCTTAACCAACGAGCCATTCAGCCGGCCCTCCTGCTCCCTTTCTTGTCACTACCTTCCCCCAACACTATATTGATATGCACTTCTTGGGCACCATTTTTGTGTGAGTTCATAGGCATGGTTGGCATGTGCTGCTTTCGCACACAGCCAGAGAATGGCCATGTACCCAAAGAACTCATGCTCACCCTCTGGGCACATGCTTGAATCATCTTTGTAGCAATAGAACCTTTTTTTTGCTTCATGCCTCTCTTCTCTTCTGTGTCACCAGCCCATTGTTCCATTCGAACCTCAGCTCCTGACCTTTGGGGCCCCTTTGCCTGTGGAGCTGTAGCAGTGAGATCGCATCAAAAGGAGGTGGTGTTGCTTAAAGACTTGGCAACTTCTCATCAGCGCAGGCTCCCTTGGGGTGTAAACAAGCTAAGACAACTGGATCTCATCCAACAGGATTTTGTCAGCCATAGCTGGGAAGACGCCCATCTGCCCCAGATGCTCCTTCCCTTTCGGGAAATTTTGCAAGTCACTGAGCTTGCAATACAATGGGGAGCACAGGCAAGCAGCTGTCAATCTCAGGCACCAACTTGGAGCATCTGAAGGATGAGAACTCTCACCCTGATGACTAAGATTGCACAGAGAAAGGGGGTTTAGCAAAGTTAAGCAAGTGGGCTCAAAAGTGGCACAGCTGGGCTCAGAGGACTCCTGAGTCCTCTTATTTTACTTCCTTCAAAGCCTGAGGATCAGATCAATGAAAAGGATACCTAAAAAGGGCTTAGCTACTCTCCCAAGTCCAGCCTGAGAAGGTCACATGAGCTCAGCAGGATAAGTGCACCAGCCCAAGCTGCTCAAGGTGACCTGAAGCAGGTCTGGCAACCAAAGAATTCTCTCTCTGACCTTCTATATATGGCCAGGGCATCAATATTTTATTGATTGAAACCCAGCATAGTATAAGCTCTGGTTCGAAAGCTTTGCTGCATGTCACAGTCATCTGGGGCTATTTTTTTTTAAATTTTATTGTTAGTTTCAGGTGTACAGAACAATGCAATAGTTATCCTTTTCACCCTCACAAAGCGACAACCCCGCTCCCCCATCTACTGCCCTCC